TTTCTATCTGACTTTGAATTTAAAATTAAAGTAACTAACAGGCAATTGTTTTTTGAATAATGTGGTTTTAAAACTATTCAGCTTTTCTATTTCAGGCTACTTTTGCTTTTCAACATTTAGAATAAATGAAAATTCCAAATTACTGGTAGAACTGCAATATTATTTTAGACTAAATACCTATTTCTATGATGTCTGTTGGTATTTTTCCAGCTAAATTCTTCTCCTAATAGGTATAATGTCAGAATAAGATATGTTTTAAATGAGATAGGCTCTTAAATGAAAATCAATAGTGCATTTTCCATAAAGCAAAATAACTTTAAGAACTACTTCAGACCTTCTTTCTAAATATAACATTATTTTTAAAGGTCCTGATAAGTAATTTTGACTTTTTATTGCCCATTGGAATACTAAAAAGGTATGGCAGTTATAACTGGTAATAGGTAGTCTATTAAAGTTTCTCATTGAAATGCATCCAGTCATTAAAGTAGAAAATTCACATCAGAAAATTTTGTACTTTAATAAGTTTTATAAATAAGCAACCTGATATATATTTTTCTAACATGTTACCATTTCCTTTTAGTCTCTTTACTCAAGTAAGAAATACTGTTTTGATTTCTGGATATTTGCTTATCTTTTCCTCCACCACAATCCATTCTTCCTACACCATCTCCCCTATACATACACATGCACACACACACACAGCTATACACACTTGTCTTTGAAATCATACTTTTTTTTAAAAAAAGTTGCTTCTCCTGTGTTCCTAATTTATGTTGATTTTTATAGTCTTTGTTGTTTTATATCTGACAGTTAACATATGCTAATATAACATGAAACAACATGATAGAAAAAATCATAGATTATAGCTAGCTTTCAAATCTTGCCTCTGCCTCTTTCTACTCCTATTATAATGAACAAATACTTAACCATTCTGTGCCATAATAGAGACTACAGAATCCATTTTGCAGATTGGAGGTTTTGCATATTAAAGCATTTATTATTGCAGCTAGTATTTCATAGCTTATCAAAAATAATGTGTTAATACATCATGAACTATAAAGAGAATGAGAATTTACCTTCTTAGCATTCCATGGATCTTGGCAGAAGACACAAGACTGTGGAGTCAGAGACAAAGAACAGTTTGTTTCATCAACAGCAATAGATTCCTGAGCCTAAATTCTCAAAGGGCAATGTTAAGAGGGTCTAATACCTGCATACTTAGTAGTTTGTGTTATTAGAGAAAAATCCTGAACTCAGGGAACACAATCTTTTTAAAGAGATAATAAGACTGACTTGCCCGCCTTTTCCCATTTACTATACTGTACAGCAAACAAATCCATTTGCTTAAGAGGTAGACATTACCTCCATCTTTCAAGACATTGCAGTATACAAATGTCTTTGGAAAGATACTTGAAACAAAGTTGGTTCATGAGTACTTAGTTTTACATTCTGGCCTAGAGGACCATAAATACTAAATGATCAGGCCTCAGCAGAACTCCGACCTCACCTTACACCTCTATACTGGTTGCTTTTCTGTCCAACCTGCCAACAACCTTTGCATTTGTTCTTCCTCCCAGAGCATCACCTAGCTAACTCCTTGCCATTCTAAATTCAGCTTGAATCATATCAGTGAGTGAAGCCTTATTGACAACCAAATGTAAAGTAGCTCCCCATGCATTCCATCACATCACTCTGTTTTTTAAGTAGTACTATATTTATCAAAGTTATTGTTTATTGCCTGTGTTTGCTTTCTGCCCCACCTATCACACAGAATGTAAGCATGTTTTAGAGCTAGAAATATATCTCATCTTTAAATAGTATCATGTGCTACTTAGTATCTCAGTATTTATTGGATTGATGGATTTAATTAATATTCTGTCTATCTTTTTGTTCCCCTTTTCCCCTTGTACTTTTCTTTTTATTGTTTTGATTAATAATATTAAACTTTATTATTTGATTTCTAATGAAAAACTTAGAGTATTTCTAGGGTTAAAAATATTATGGTAAATATCCCCAAAATAAGATGTGCCACGTACTTGTTAAGTTTACTATACATTTTTCTATTCAATATATTTTTTATATAAATTTTTGTTGTTCATATTATTACAAATGATCCTTCCCCACCTCCTCTCCATTGCTCTCCTCAATCAGGTTCCCACCTCACCCTCTGCCCTTTCCCCACCCCCCGTTGTCCTCATCCATAGCTGCACAGTTTATGTTCAGTCTCTTCCCACATCCCCCTGTCCCCTTTTCCCTAAGAATCGTCAGTTCACTCCCCTTCCATACCTCTGATTCTATTATGTTCAACAGTTAATATTGTTTATCAGATTTTTTTTTAATTTCCTTGGTTTTTTAGAATCACTTGTTGATAGTTACATTGATAGTTACGTATTTGTTGTTCATAATTTTTATCTTTATTTACTTTCTCTTCTGAAAGAACCCCTTTCAGTAATTCATATAATTCTGGTTTGGTGGTGATGAACTCCTTTAGCTTTTTTTTTATTAGTGAAGCTCTTTATCTGACCTTCTATTTTGAGTAATAGCTTTGCTGGGTAGATTATCTTTGGCTGTCGGTTCTTACTATTAATCACCTTGAATATTTCTTGCCATTCTCGTCTGGCCTGCATGGTTTCTGTTGAGAAATCAGCTGACAATCGTATAGGTGCTCCTTTATAAGTAACTACCTGCTTTGCTCTTGCTGCTTTTAATATTCTCTCTTTGTCTTTTGCTCTTGGAATTCTAATTATGATGTGTCTTAGTGTGGTCCTCTTGGATTCCTTTTGTTTGGAGTTCTGTGTGCTTCCTGGACTTGTAAGTCTAATTCTTTCACCAGTTTGGGGAAGTTTTCTGTCACTATTTCTTTCAATATGTTTTCGATATCTTGCTCTCTCTCATCTTCTGGGACCCCCATAATTCTGATGTTGGTTCGCTTGAAGTTGTCCCAGAGGTTTCTTACATTATCTTCAGTTTTCTGGATTCTCTTGCCTTCTAGCTTCTGCAGAGGAGTGTCTTCTGGCTCTTTATGTTCCAACTATTTGACTTGATTCTTGCGATCTTCCATTTTGTTTTTAGGACTCTGTATAATATTTTTTATTTCAGACAATGTATTCTTTATTTCTTGTTGATTCCTTATTAATTTTAGTTGATCCCTTTTCATATCCTATAGGTCTTATCGATCTTTTCTAAGAAATTCTTGAAAAACCTTATAAGCTTAGATTTGAACTCTATATCCAGTCGCTTTTTGTCCTCCATTTCTTTCGTTTGTGATCTATTTCATCTTGGCATTTTCGCAGCTTTCCTGAGTTGGTAGCCTTAAAAGTCTCTGTGTTCTGCTTGGATGGGGCAGGGTTTCAGGGTGGAGCCTACAGCTTTGGCTTCCATCAGCCCTGCCCTATGCGGGTCCTTCAGTCCTCGTTGCAAGTGCCTCTGAGAGAAAGGTGCCCTCGATTTTCGCCTGCCGCCAAACAGTCTAGGCCACATGTGTCAAACACAAGGCCCGCGGGCCAAATCCGTCCCGCCAGGCCTTGCAATGTGGCCCGCACCGCGCTGTCATCACTGCACTCCGCTGCGTTTCCATCACAATGACAGTTTATGACTGTTCAGTAAACCATTCGGCCCGCGAATTAGGCTGGATTTTAGATTTTGGCCCCTTCTCTGATTGAGTTCGACACCCCTAGTCTAGGCCCTCCCCCACTGAGCCCGGTATTGGGGGCCAGTTCAGTTGGAAGTGGAGTTTGAGGTGGCGTTCAGAGCAGACTGGAGCCCCTGTCTCCTTCCCGCCAGGGCACTCCCGCGGCACAGCCAACCGTCCCTTCTCTGCGCGCAATGTGCGTGCCTCTGGGACCTCCTTTCGCCGCTCCCCTGGGGTTCCGTCTTACAGCCCAGCTTCCTCTGGATGAGCCTGGGTCCCCGGGTTTGGCCTGGAACTGGGGTTCAGAGCAGTAGGAACTGGGGCCCAGCACAGTCAGAGCTTTTATCTCCTTCCTGCTAGGGAACTCCATCCAGGCACTCAGCTGCCCCTCCTCTCTGGCTCCGTTCTCTCCGCACATGTCTCCGTTCCTCAGGCTTTTACAGCTCCTCCACACTTCCTTCTGGTTTTCTCCTTGCTTCTCGTTGTAGAATTTCCAGTCAGTCGACTTTCCTGTAGTTCTGGGTAATGTCCATTTTATATTTTAGTTGTATTTTATTGAAATTGTTGTGCGTGGCTACGGGTAGGTGTTTACCTGTCAGCCATCTTGGAACGCCTCCCCTCATTAATATTTTTGATAAACTGCAATTAGATAACCTGTTTGGTTTCATTGGTACTGAGAATACAAACTCCATGCTGTTTGTTGGAACTTAGAAAAATCCATGTTTACCTGCTAATTCCCACTTATGCAATATGAGAGGCATTTCTTGATTTGTGTAGAGCTTAGAGAATAAGAACTTAACTGGTCATATATCTATTGAGATCTTTTTATGGCTTACATGTTATTTGTTTTGATGGACAAAGAGCCTTCATTTAAAATGCCAAGTGTTTATTTAGTCATCTTTATGACACTTCTGCCTATATGAGAAAATTTTTTAAATGTAGTGTAAGGAGCTATTACAGATTTTCAGCTCATTTTTATTATTTGCTCAACTACTTTACTTGTATTCAATAGTTTACTTTGCAGAGGAGGTATAGACTTTAATACATCCACTAGATATTCTTTTGGAAATATATGTAGAAAAACAGTTTTGATTTGTAATCTAAATGGTTTTTATTTTTAGTTTCTATCTCCCTTCTCTTAGTTGATTTCACTAAGATGCAGGTGCTTTAAACATAACAGTTGTATTTAAAGATACATGACATTTAATAAGCGTTCATATGCTGATCTTTTAAAAGATTGGATTACTAATATAATAAGTAACCATTATTTAAAAGATATTTATCACAGCCCTACAGATAAATAATTCTCCATTTTTGTGTATGGAATCACTGTAGTTAAAATTTATCATTTTTCAAAATTTTCTTATAGCAAGCATTAAAGGAAAATGTCAAAAAAAGAGAAGCAGAGGAAAAACAAAAACGTGCCAGAATAGCCCAAGAATTGGCAGAGAAAGAAAGACTTGAACGCCAACAAAAGAAAAAGCGCTTATTAGAAATGAAGACTGGTAAGTACTATCAAATTTGCTATTTATACTCTGTACAGCTAAGATTTATACTGGTTACTTTATTGGTAGTTGAATATACTTAAGTGAAAAAGGGAGATGTGAGTACTTATTTGTGTTGGTAAATCGTAAAGCTGTCCATTTTTATGGGCTTTCCCCCTTTTTGTTTACTAACTCAGTATTTTCATTCTAATTTTGGTTGTAGGTGACTATGGTTCCAAATTTTCACATTTTTTTGATAACTGTTTTAACAAATAATCTGTAATAATTTATGTCAACTTGTAAACAACTGTAGGAAACTGGAAAACTCTATAGGCCAAGTAATCCTGTTTCTTCAACATAATACTATGCCAAGGGAGAAAAAAAGTGATGGAGGGAAAACTAACTGATTAAAAGAGACTAAAAAGATATATCAACCTATCACAGTAAACAGGATTTGTACAGGATGAGGCAAAAGTAGGTTTATAGTTGTCATATGGAAAATAATACAATAGCCGAAACTGGTTTGGCTCAGTGGATAGAGTGTTGGCTTGCGGACTGAAAAGTCCTAGGTTTAATTCCGGTGAAGAGCATGTACCTTGGTTGAGGGCACTTCCCCAGTGGGAGGTGTGCAGGAGGCAGCTGATCAATGATTCTTTCTCATCGATGTTTCTAACTCTCTTTCCCTCTCTCTTCCTCTCTGTAAAAAATCAACAAAATATATTTAGGAAAAAAAAAAGAAAATAATACAATAATCTATACTAATAATCTATATTAATAAAATGGTAATATGCTAATTAGACCAGATGTCCTTCCTGACAAAGCTGCCCAGGTCCCTGATGCCTGCTGGCGGCGTCCAGAGGGAAGTAGCCTGAGTCCCGGGTGTAGGAGGGAAGCTGGTGCCCGTAGCTGGGGTAAGGAAGGCCTACTCTTGCACGAATTTTCATTAGTTAATAAATAATGATCCAAGAATGAAGTGTATTTGACTTACAGCTATAAACCTACTTTTGTCCTACTCAGTATACTCTAATTCAAATAAATGTAGGAAAAAAGTCTGAAATTTTTGAATACTTTTTCTTAATGTTTTTGATAATGTTTTATGTTTCAAAGTATCTTTTAGAGACTCACTGAAATTTTATAGATAAAAAGAAACTATGTTTGGAATTTCAGTCAAAATACTCTAATATGACTAAAGTATGTTGGTGTAAAGATGAAACAAGATAGGCTATAAGTAATAATTACTAAAGTTGGGTGATGGATACTTGGAGGGAAGAATTTGTTTACTACATTATTTTCTCTACTTTGGGATATTTACAGTTTGACTTTGGGTGGTGGACACACAATACACTGTACAGATTGTGTATCATAGAAATGTACACTAGAAACCCATGTCTTACTAACCAGTGTCACCCCAATAAATGTAATTTTTTTTATTTATTTTTAATATATTTTACTGATATTTTACAGAGAGGAAGGGAGAAAGAGAGAGAGCTAGAAACGTCAATACTAGAGAAACATGGACCAGCTGCCTCCTGCACACCCCCCACCAGGGATATGCCCGCAACCAATGTACATGCCCTTGACCGGAATCGAACCTGGGACCCTTCAGTCCGCAGACCAATGCTCTACCACTGAGCCAAACTGGTTTCGGCTAATAAATGTAATTTTTAAAAATAGGTCTTGGAAAAGGTATAAAAAGAAAAACTTAGCAAAATTACAACTTTAGACAGCTATATATGTATATTTTCCAAAGCTAAAAGATACCACAAAGTGAGGAGCAAAAGAATTAAGTAAATTGTAGTTATATTTCACCCCCTGAAAATTCTGGCTCTTCTACCTCCAAGCCACTAAGGACTGCAGAAGCCTTTAATTAAAATCCATCAACTTCACTCCTAAATTACCATAGTTTACAATTCAGGGCTGCATATTCACCTAAGGTTTCCCTAGGGGTACTCAGAGATGCCTTCTTACTTTCTCTCCTTTCATTTTTACAGACATATTTTATCTTTAATAAAGCAAACTGAGTACTTTAATGTATCTCACATACTTCTTCCACGGGGAAAAATTCATCTAAACACAATTTCTTTAAGACTACACTTGAAATTCAAGAAGTATTCTCTTGTTAAGGTGTAAACAAAAACGGAGATCAGGAAGGTTTAGCATTGATTTTTAAAATATGCTTCTGAAAGTCATTTTAAAATAATCTATTATTGCCTAGTTTACCAAACATTCTGGTATTTGAACATTAGCTCATTTAGTGTTGGTTAAAGAGTCATCTAGACAGTTCCTCATGCAGACTGTTGTATTATTTGCTATGATTTTTGCCTGAGGATTTGTCATACAGAGGTTCTCAACAATTCTCTTGTTAAAACATTTAAATGAAACTTTAAATCCAATGTAATCTTAATAATGATTTTATTTAAAGTTATATTTCTCCTGTTGAAAACTTCCAATTTCATGAATTAAGTTCATTTTTTTTTTTACAATCCTATTTAATAAAAGAGTAATATGCTAATTGACCATCACTCCAACACACAAGATGGCTGCCCCCATGTGGTCCAAGATGGCCACCACAAGATTGCCTGCAGGGGAAGGCCATTGGGAAGGACTAGGCCTGCAGCTTTATTAAAGATAAAATATGTCTGTAAAAATGAAAGGAGAGAAAGCAAGAAGGCATCTCTGAGTACCCCTAGGGAAACCTTAGGTAAATATGCAGCCCTAAATTGCTTGTTTGAGAGATTTTAGGAAAATCCAAAGCATAAAGCAACCCCTGCTGGTTTTTATAGACACAATTATGGGGAATTCTCTTCCTGGTACTGGAACCCTGTGTTGAGTGTCTGGTGTGGGACCAGGGCCCTTCTCTCCTCAGGGAAACTTCCACAACCAAGATATCCCTCCTGATTTTAAACCACCTCATGTGTATGTAGGACCAGCCAATTCTTTGATTCCACCTAGCCACTCTGTCTCCCCTACCAGTCTCAATGTGCTTCTTGTTCAATCCCCTAGTTGTGGGACTTCCCATCAGCTAGATTTCAGGTTATTCTGAATGATGGCTTTTCTGTATTTTAGTTGTAGTTTTGGTGTGGCTATAGGAGGTGGTGAGTACAGAGGGATTACCTACACCACCATCTTGACTGGAACCTCATTGAGTTTTTTTTTGTTTGTTTGTTTCCCTTTAATTCTCATTGAGGATTCTTTTTCCATTGCTTTTCAGAGAGAGTGGAAGGAAGGGAGAAATGGCAGGGGGAGAAAGAGATATTAATGTGAGAGAGATATCGACTGGCTGCCTCCTGCACTTGCCCCAACAGAGGGCAGGGAGTGAACTCACAACCCAGGTACTTTCCCTTGACCAGGAATTGAACCCACAACCCTTTGGTATGAGGACCAACACTCAATCCACTAGCCACACTAGCCAGGGCCAGAACCTCAGTTTTGTTGTTGTTGTTGTTTTAATATATTTTTATTAGTTTCAGAAAAGAAAGGAGAGGGTAAAAACACGAATGATGAGATAGAATCATTGATCAGCTGCCTCCCGCATGCCCCCCACTGTGGATGGAGCCTGCAACCCAGGTATGTGCCCCCAACCAGAATTGAACCCGGGACCCCACAGTCCTCAGGCTGATTATGCTCTATCCACTGAACCAAACAAGGCAGCACCGGAATCTCAGTTTTTGACACTTTTAACAGATCACTGAATTTGGTGCATTTCTGAAATTTGACAAATACTGTCTTCACACAATGTATTATTATGAAAAATGCAAGTGCTGTGTCTTCCAATATTATTTTATTGGTATAGAAAAGAAATTTAATAGCTCCACCACTTTTGTTTCTTTTTTTTCATCAACTAATAGGTTTTTTTCTGAATGCTCAAGTACATTAATAAGTAAGGTTAAATAAGATCTCTGCTACAATGAAGTTATGAATTTTAATAAATGATTCAAACAACTTATATAATACAGCTTATAAAAAGTTATATGAAATTAAATAAGACAGGATAATAAGATGGAGATGGATACTAATTGGAATGGCAACTGGTGGCAATAAAATTTGGTCTTAGAGAACTAAGGAGAATATTAATATATTAATAATAATATATTAATAATAATAATATTAATATATAGCAAATTATATTAATAAATGTGCTAATTTAAATTTTGGTAATATAAAACTACTTAAAAATTCACAGAAAAAACAGTCATTTTTGTATAGACCATGCTACAGTTGACCCTTGACCCTTGACCCTTGAACTTGAATTAGGGCCCTGATCCCCATGCAGTCAAAATTCCCCATGTAATTTTTGACTCCTCATTAACTTAGTTGTCTCTCAGTATCTACAGGGGATTGATCCCAGGACATCCACAGATACTAATGTCCATGGATGCTGACATTCCCTATTAAAAAAAGTGGTGTAGATCAGTGCATACAGTTGGCTCTTTGCTATCATGCATTCCCAATTGCTGATTGCAAACAGTACAGTATCAGTATTTATTGGGGGGGTAGCGGGAGGGGGAGAGATCCACCTATAAGTGGACCCACACAGTTCAAACCTGTTATTGTTTAAGGTCAGTTTTAGCACTCTTAACTTTCCAGAAGCTGTCAGCCTAGCTTTCCTATTCTTAAAAACAACATAGAAGGTAAATTGTTGAATTCATAATATTTTGTCACTTTCTGGACCAGGGACTTCTTGCTCTAACTTATATTTGCATGTAGGACATGCACCCCTAAATGAGGAAAGGAAACATTTTGATATAGTCCTGTTATAACCCAACAGGGAGCTTTCTTCTATATACTTTTAATTTATTTCAGAGAGAAAGGGAGAGGGAAAGAGAAGCATCAGTGATGAGAGAGAATCATTGATTGGCTGCCTTCTGAACAGCCCCCATTGGGGATTGAGCCAGCAACCCAGGCATATGCCCCTAATTGGAGTTGAACCTGGATCCTTAAGTCTATAGGCCAACGCTTTATCCACTGAGCCAACCCAGGTAGGGTAGGAGCTTCCTTTTATATATTTTCATGACTTTAGT